AAGACGACGACGAAGAAGACGACGACGAAGAAGACGACGAAGAAGAAGACGACGAAGAAGAAGACGACGAAGAAGACGACGAAGAAGACGACGACGAAGAAGACGACGACGACGAAGAAGACGACGACAAAGAAGACGACGACGAAGAAGACGACGACGACGAAGACGACGACGACGAAGAAGAAGACGACGACGAAGAAGAAGACGACGAAGACGAAGGGACGAGGAAATCAAAAAAGCAACCAACTTGACTTGGATAGAAGCAAAGAGAATGACCCTAGACAAAACAGTTGGGAGGAAACTAACAAAGGAAGTGACAGCAGAAGGAAGAGAAACTTTGAGGAAAAGGCTGGCAATCAACTGCTATGAGTATCCCCAGGGATCACCAAGGATCACATGCAATCTATGTACTACACACACTTCTGTATCAAAATCAAATAATTCCATTCATTTTACTCAGCTTAAAAATGGATTGTTTATCATACATAACCCAAAATAGGCATTTGAGAGAACAATAAATATTACGTCAGAAATCTTTTCCTCCTTACTTAATATTACTGATAGCAATTTATGCACCTAATGTAATCGGTAACCTTTAAAATATTTTCTGAATCAGCCAATTTCAAACATAAATTTGTGTTTTTCTTGATAGCACAATATTCAACCATATTAAACAGAGGAGTGGGTTATTGAAAATTTATCATTTATCTACACTGTTAAGATGAAAAAAGAGAGTACAGAGTAATTTACTCACTGTAGCAGTCACAACATTGATGCACTATTTAGATGTAGAAAAATTAAGTAACACATCTGCAGCATTCTAATTTTAAAATAAAAAAGATTTGTAACTAACAATTATTACTTTCTCCAGTTGTTAACATGACAATTAAAAATTTGCACATGCTGCAAATGTCTCTGGAAGTCAACGCTTTCCATATACAACACCCATGGGTCACGTATGGACAAAACATGCAACTTCTCTACCCTCATTCTAGTGCCTTTTGTGAAAACCTGGCTTGAAGCATGGCAACCTCTAAATATTCATTTTCATTCTTTTTAGAAAAGCATTCTGGTGGCACGATATGCTGCAGGAAGAAAAAAAACACGATGGATCACCTGGGCTCATGTTATGAAGCAACTGAAATGATAATAAAGCTATGATAGCTAAAGGTTATTTTATACTTCCAGATAAAAAATTCTTACAAAATATTAAAACTAAGTTTTAGAAAATTTTTATTTGGAAACTATTGGCTATCTCAGTGTAGTTATAAGAGAAGAGTAGGTTAATTATGATAATTTTGTATGCTGCACAACCTAAAAGATTTGTGACACCTTTCCAATTTTTTATTTATATAATTAGTCCTAGAAGACCACATTAATGCATAACTAACCTAACCCAACACCATAAAGAGTCATCTCTAGTTGCAAAATCCCTTTTACTTCTATTTTAAGTCCCTATTCTACATCCCTATGCTACTTCTTTGGACATGCTATCTATGAACATTTACAGCTTTCCTTTAGTTAGCAGGAATTAGTCTACAGATGGCACTCTCTATAAATATGTATCATTTGCGAATTGTTCATGTATTCCTGAATATTATGAATGTACATGATTACGGGATTATCCCATTAGCATTACCATACATGCTCCATTGACAAATTTATCCTATAAAATGATTATCCTACAGGGTGGCAATAGTGATAATCAACCTTTCCCTTCCAAGTGGTCCAAGCCCCATACCCCATATATAAACATCATGACTGGGTAAAAGAATTTCAAGCAACCTGTAGCATTCATTGCCTAGGTGACGGAGGTAGCCACCTCACTAGTGCCACATTTATCTTTCAACACAGCCGCACAGCGAGGCCATGTGGGTGCTCTCTTGGTAGTGGCAGTGATGGTTTGAACAAAAGGTTCCAGGTTGACAGGTGAGGAAGAGCTCAAGCTTTCTGTCTTTCTTGTTAAACATGCATTGTACTCACATTTAGGGAATGTGCTGATTCTACGAGTAATAGGATATCATAAACAAATAATCCAATAAATTCTTAATTTCTGACATTGATCTGGCAAGTTAGTTGTAGAACTTATCTCTTCTTCTCACTTTCAAAAATATCCAACACCTAATAGCTTTGCAGGTTGATTTTGTATCAAAGATACACTGACATAAAAAATAATACAGGAAATATAATACAAGGCTCTATAAAATACACCTCATTGAAAAAACTAAAGTACTGAACATACAAATAACAAAGATTTTAATGCAATGTTTGGGTAAGCTGACTTATGTCATTATCATCGTAATCTGAAAAGTGAATCTTCATTTAGCGATTTAAAATATTCAAAGAAGTATGTTTTTTCAATGTATACAATTCAACAATAAAAGTATTTCATTGAATTTTTATATGTTTCATTACATAGTAAGGTTTAACTATTGTAGGTGTCTTGAAACACCTCAAAAATAGGGTTTTTCTAGGTTTCCTCCAGAATGTTCTAGATGGATCTGATTAAAACATAGCCAATTCATTTGCTGCAGAGAGAGGAATCAAAAGAGCTATTGATCATATCTGTAAGTGCCTTAAAACTCCCTAGAAACATTACTGGTGCTCATCTTAGAATGTTCTAGTAGGATCTGAAAAAATGGTCAGTTCCCTGCCAGGAAACCAAAAAATGTTGAAGGATGCCTCATTTGCCTTGATGGATGTGAGTGACAGACAAGTGAGTGGATGCATGTTACTTGAATACTATATATGTATGTATGAATGTATGTACTTGGTGCGTGAACAAGCTCAGGCCTACCAGTGACATCCCTGCCTCACGGCCGTGGGTTAAGGGGGTATGTGTGGTTAGCTCGTACATAACCATGCCATATTCTGGTCTTCTCAACCTGAGAATTGAATATTCTCATCGTCACACAGCATCATATACTGTGACTTTGCAAGAAAAATGCACACTACTGTCTTGGCTCGACAGGGATTCAAACCCGGCGCTACATAGCGGAAAGCGAGCATGGAATACTACATAACAATAAGGATATTAAGAAGTCTAATGATGCTAGTAACCCTCAGAATAAAGCTCCTAGCTGAAAATCCAGTTTGGAAAAATTTTTCTAATTCTCACCTTTTTCTTCTGCTGTCTTTGAGGACGATCAGAAGGTGGTGATACAACAGGAGGTTCTTTTTTAACTGGTCGCCTCCTACTTCGTTTTGGAGGCTCCAAATTAACACCAGCATCAGCAATCCAATCGGAATATTCAGAGCTTTCTGAATCACTGCTGGAGCTACTAGATCCTAAATCTTCCTCACGTGCAGTTGAATCATCATTATTTCTATCACTTGCTGATGACACACTTCCCATGATTTCAAAATGATTCTACAAGAAATCAAGCATAAGTTTAAAAAATGCAATAGGTACTTTTATGTGTGTTTGTTCTTCGATATATAATTTAAAATAAATTAAAAATTAACTTTCAACAGCCTATTGCTCACCTCAAATTCACTTTCAACAGCATTTTGCTCTTGGGCAGCACGTGTACGATAATTATGTTGAAGTTGATTTCGATTATGTCTGCGTGTCTGTGCTCCAGTTCTGGTAGCAGAAGGTGGTGCTGGAGGAGGAGTAACAGGACGGCGATGTTGTTCACGACGATACATTGTCAATTCTTCATTTGATATGGAGTCTCTAACAACAAATAAATCAGAAGAGAAGACATAAGGTTTGAAATCAAAATGGAATGTTCAAAAAGATTTACATTCTAACTGAACTATTTACACCACTAATACTTTTACATACTTTACTACACCATACTTTTACACCATTTTATCATGTTTTTCAAAATGTAGTTAAATGAAGTTCACAGTAAGCTTTGAATTTTTGCGTTTTTAAATTATGAACATTGTTATGTTTTTGTGACTGCATGGCATGATTGTTCATTGTGAATTTTTTATGATCAAAAAGGATTATATCACTTTTCATAAAACTTATCCCGAGAACATTTACATATTTTCTCTTTTTTCTTTCTTTTAATCAGTGTATTAAATGAATTTTCTAGAAGTGAAAATTGAAAAAATGTCATTAAAAAAAGTACTTCATTAAAATCTTAAAATCTATCAGAGCAGTCCATGTTCTGGCTAGAAAATAAAATGGTGGGAGTGATGACCAACTATCTTTTCAGTCCCATAAGCAAGCACCCTGGAAAAAATCTTTTCTATTTCACAAAATCAGGGAAATTAGAAGACAAAGAATGCACCACACAACATAAAATGTGCAATTGGATTATCTGACACCAAAATTAAATCACCTACACTTTCATTAAAGCTGCATGAAGACTTCCTGGATCTGCAGGTCTTGTGAGCATTCGTTGCTTCCATATGTAGCTAGAATCACGTTGCCAATTCCCACTTGATTGTCTTACACCTTCTACATCACCAGTGCGCCGCATTCCAACCCGATGTGCTAGAACATGATATAGCAATAGTCATAATCATGATCATCATCACCATAATCATCATAACATAATATCCTCTACATATAATGTGCCCCAGGAATTATCCCCAGGGATGCATCAAAGATATTAAAACGTAAACAATGTACGCACAAGTTTGTCGATTATGGTATGTTTGGATTGTCAGGTCCACATGCAATATGCAAAACACATTATGCAGCAATGCACTTTACCATCAAGCATAACTTGCAAATGATGCATCATAGAATATTACACCGGTTTTTTGTTATGCTTTCTTTACTGAAATCTAAAAAAATGAGGCCTTTTTGGACATTCTATAACATTTTTTTAATGGGTCCACTGTTTGCCTATGCTATAGACAGTGGAAGTCTGCAGATCGCCATTACAAAAAAGCTAAATTTTCTGTTATTAATGAGCAATTCTTTATGGCAGTGTATCCTTGATATTTTTGTCTCATGGTGCATGCGTAATCAATTGATACATAAACTGATAAATGTAGAGTGCGTGAGTTAGTATAAAAGATTTTGGTGTTATCTCTGATCATTAACTAACTTTTAAATCCCATATTGAAAGTTATTAATTCTGAGAAAAAACTTGCGTTACCTAATGAGAACTTGTAGGAACTTCAAGAAATTCAAAACTTGCATGTATTATATTTCGCGTTTGTATGTTCCAGGCTTGAATATGCTTCTGTGTTATGGTCACCAGTTAGAATTGGACTCGTAAAGGATCTTGAAAGATGTCAGCAAAGATTTGCAAAATATTTAGAGTTCAAGTCTGGTGGTGACTAACCTCCACGTGAAATAGATAATCAATTTTTAGGCCAAATTTAAACTAGATTCCCTTAGAATAGAAGACAAATGTCACAAATTTTATTTATGATTAAAATCATTTAAGGCATAATTCATGCCCCTTATTTATTATCTCAAATTCCATTTTCTATTGCACGTTTGAATGCTCGCTCTTCAACATTTTTTTATAATTCTGTTACTAGTGACAGACTTTGTCATAGGGTGAAGCTGTTTAATATTTTGGAACTTGCAAATGATTAGATCAGTGCCTCTATCCCAACTGATTGGTTTGTTAACTCTGTTTCTTCCCTTGTTGTAAATATTGTGGACTATTTGAACACCTCTAGATAAATGTATTTGCTAATACAGATAGTCCTTTAATTGGGGGTAACCCACTGGACTTTTGTAAATAAAATAAATAAATAAAAATAAAATCATATCATCTATCTTTGAGCTGATGTAAGGAAGGAGGAAGAGGCCTAAGTCAAATTGAAGCCTTCTGGCACAATGCAATAGTCAGGGTGGGAAAATATGTAGACGAGTTATCAAGATGACCCACTAATGAGGCAGGTCATTAAATCTGACTGAAGAATGGAAACAGGCATTGTCAGTGACTACTTGTAGATGTGACTGTGCCATGCGATCAAAATGTTGCAACCAAGGAGGCAAAGAAATGTCTTAAATACAAGAGTTTGGAAATTGAAATCAGCCGAATGCAGGGCGTAAAATCACAGGTTGTCCTGATAGTTATCGGAAGTTCCACAAAGTGTGAGTAAGAACATGGCTTAACTCCAATGAAATTCAAAAGACTGGGAAGTGCAAAACCTTGCTTTATTTGAAACAGCCCTCATTTTGCACTAAGTATTGTAGAGCCACCAAAAGTCCTTAGATCGGATCTGTCGAACGTTGGTTGCAGCCTGGAGTAAATTTTATATTCAAGTGACTCACATCTTTTAGTCGTGACTTAGGGGAACAATAATAATTTATTTATTTCAATTAAAAATATGAGCCTAAATGTATTTAAAAAGCATTTACACTCACCAGATCTTGGAGAAGTGGCATGACGTGGTGCAGCAGCATGATCTCCAGGACCGTTCTGTCTATTAGCAAGAGCGGCGATCATCTGGTCAATATGAGAACGAGGTTCTGGTAAACCTTCTATAACTTCTTGTTGACCTATACACAGACATATCAACTTAATACTAGTCATGGCACAACTCAGCACAGCTTTTCCAGAACTTCTTTCTACCCTCCTTACAATTAGTTGAACATTTCCACAAATTTTGCACAAATTGAAGGGCTCAGTAGAAGAAGGGGCCATCCCACATTTTTGTGAAATTGAGTTATTTGCATTAAATATAACTTCAAATATTTTTCTTTTAGTGTAACATGTTATTTAAATCCAGTATGTATGTATATTTAAGAGTAGTGTGTTTAAAAAAATTCTGTGAAGCAGCTTCGCAAAAATCTCAGTTGAACAGGGGGCTATCCCATGCAGGTTTTAAGTGTTTTTGATGACATCAACATCATCATGAAATGAAAGGTGTTTAAGCTTATCGGCCTGTTCCATTAGTTATGCAGTATTCCTGGTAGTTAGTCTTCAGGTGTTCCTACTGTTGTCAGTTCTTTCGTGGTCTTCCAATGTCTCTGTTCCCTGCTGCTTTGCTGTTCCATATTAGTTTAGGCCATCTGTTATTGTTCATTCTTTTAAGGTGACCTTGCCATATTTTTTGATAGTTTTCTATTTTATCTACTAAGTCTTTAGTTTTTAATTTCTTTCTAATGTCTTTGTTTCTCAGTCTGTCCCTTCTTGTAACTCCTATAAGGTGTCTCAGAAATCTCATATGTGCTGCTTGTACTTTTTGTTTGTCTCTCTCATATGTCATTTTTGAATGATGAAAAAGACGCTGTATTTTATAATTTCTGTAAATTGGATATTTATATTCCCATATATTGGATGTAAATACTCAAAATGCATATTTATTTGGATTAATTAAATCTTTCTCTTGCAAGAGAGGATATTTAAAGGACAGAACCAATGTTGGTAAAGTAAGAACAATTGTTGTATAACTCAAAAATATAATCAGATATTAATAATTTTTTCTCATTATTTGCAGAAAGTTGTCTTGATGTATATAAAAAAGTTTTTTAGACAGATTTTACTGATCGATGGCTTCCGAGTTATTTAATGAAAGTTCTAGTAAAACCCACATTGTCTCAAAACTAGTTCAATGTGAGACAGTCCTTTGTTCTACTGAGCCCTTCAATTCCAGAATGTTGAAGAATAGCATACTTAAACAGCTATCTTGTAATGTTGAGAATTCATGTAGATTTATAAACAAGTTGTATAATAACAATACAAATTACATTATAATTTTTGGTATAATTGTTTGCGAAAGTTAAATTTTCAAGAAACTTTATACGAAATCATTTAGAGCTTCTATGTTCATGGTCAAATTGAGAAATACAAATCATGTAAATCAACTGTACATTTCTGTCCTGAAGTAAAATTTGAAAAGTGAACTCAAAAAACAGTTTTAGAAGTAACGAATTTACAAAAGCAAAAATAGTAATTGACAAAAACAACAATTGAAAAAGTAAGTTTATAAGAATTTATGACGCAAAAGGCACATAAAAAACGTGGATGCAGAAGTAAACATTTTATATTTTATATTTTTTAAGTTGAACAATAAACAAAATCCTGAAAATACTTTTTCTTTCTTTTTTTGAAGTATTGGCAGTTCAATTTTTTATACACAGGAAAGCTTGATGCAGATTAAACAACCAATAGAACTTTAGAGGAATTCCTGAAGGCTATAGATGGGTTCAGAAACAAGCAACAGAAATAGAAAAAGGATATCAAACACTTTGTCTAAACTTAAAAATCAAAGAACATCCACAAAAGTATTATGAACCTGTGTCAGGAATGCCTAAAACAATTCTAAGCCAAATGCTGAATTACTAAGAATGACAATCTTATCAAATGAGATTACTGTACAAAAAAAGGGGTTGTGTGTAACTTAAAAGTCAAATGTTAAAAGGAGTATGAATTCTGTTTTCCCCTCATTTCAACTTCCCTTAACTCCACCTCTCTTGGTAAATTGATTTTCTGAAAATGATTAACTTTACATACACACAATACATAAATAACTACATTTACATGGTTCAAAATCACAAAGTACATGATGAAGAAATGGTAAAAAATAGTTTAATTCAATTATCACAGAAATCTAATTAATATTGGTATAAGACTAGCAGTAATTCTAGACTTGAAACACAAGGTCATTAGTTTTTTTTAGTAGAAGTTCAAATTCACATAATTTGAAGGCCTCTAAAAAATGATAGCCAGGTGAAAATCACCTTCATTACATAAAGTACGTAAATTGTATATTTACCTCCAGCGCCTACAATGATATTTGGTATTAGTTGTTCACCTTGGCAATTTTCTCTTCCTGGAACTAGTCTTTGTAAGTATGGAGGGTAAGGATTGCCATCTATGTCCACCAAAAATGGAGGTGGCATAAGGTGAGGAGCTGTTTGTGTTTGTTCATCAAGAACATGGTGATTAGCATCTCGTATGAGTGGTCTGTAATCTGTGTGAAAGAACAGTTCACTAGGAAGCTAGAAAAAGAAGTTGCAATTATGAATTAATATAATGTGCCAATTATTATTGTCATTAATTATAAGTATAGTTATTGCAATGAAACAAAAGAAAAATATTCAAATTCCAAAAAAAAATCACTAACCTTTCCAAAATGTTCAGAACCTGAACCAAACCCAAAAATGAGAATATGACCATGAGAGTCAGATGCAGCCATCATTGTTCCATCTGGTGACCATTTTGCATCAAAAACTGCACCATGACCTTGACCTTCAATTGTGTTTTGATATGAAGTGTTCATTGTTCCAGAAATAATATCCCAGATGATAATTAGTCCATCGTGGCCAGCACTAAGAAGAATATGAGGATCAAAAGGATGTGCTTCAACTACGAAAACTTCATCTTTGTGGCCTCTTAGCACTTGAAGTAGTTCTCCTGAAACACGATGACCAACTTTTATACTGTACTTTTCTTGCTTGGAGTAAAAATTATTTTCATTTCCGTCATTAAAATAGAGATTGGTTTCATGTAATGAAAAACTTCAAAGATGAAATTTCATAAAGCAAGAGTACATAATAAACAGAAAATATTCAGTCTACATCTTATGAGAGTTCATAATGAAATTATAGAAGTGGACCAAGCTTCCCCGTTGTAGTCTCTGGGAAGGGGAGGGGCGGAGGGCGAGGGAGGAAGGTGTCAGGCAGGATTCACAGATGCCCAGATGCCCGATGAACAGAGATGGCAGAAAGCACTCCTTCCTGCTAAGCTGCTGCCTGGAGTCTGCATATGATGCAGGCCTTATGAGTTCCAAGCTGTGTTCCACCACATTGCAGGCTGACCGACCCTTCGCCTAACATCACCTCTCATGCACAGCCCTCTAGCTCCAAGAGCATTGATGGTGTGCAGCTCACACATGCCACTGAGCTACACTTGAACACATACTAAATTTCATATTCTGTTTCTTAGTTTATGCAATATGGTCTACGTATCATGTTTCACTTCTCTTAACCCCAACTTCCCTTACAACCTAACACATCTGTTTGTTTTAGTTTAATTCATGATACACTGCATCAAAGAGAGAGAGAGAAAGATTACAGAAATCAACGAGAAATTTGTACCTTACCTGTTGCAGAATTCCATACTTTCAGGGAATGATCATTTACAGCTGTTATAATCCACGAGTCACTTTGATCCCAACAAACCATAGATACCTTCCACTTAAATTTTGGATCTTCATCTTTGTCAATAACGCTGCAAATACTTATAAATTTAGATTATTTACTAAAAAAACAGATAATATCCAATACAATTTATACAATACTCACCCAGGGAGTTTTGTATTCATGATCAAGGTCATCGACTTCCATTGCTGACATTCAAAATGCCATACAAGAGCAGTCCCATCCTTACTACCAGAAACAAAACTAGTTTTCCTATTGGCCCATTGTATGCTATCCACTCTATCTGAATGTGCTTCACTTTCCAGTACTCTATGAGGTCCTTCTTCACCTTCCATGAGGTAAACTCTGAACATACACACACATACAAAAACAGCCAATATAGTTTTGAGCTTTTCAGTATTACAACATTACCTTCACAACAATATAAAGTCAGTCACAGCTCTACGCTTCAGAGGCCAAAAACTACACCAGCATGCTCCATAAAATAAGCAGTAAATATTCCTTTGCCATTTTGGAATCGGGAACATTTATTTATTTATTTATTCATTCTTCATTTATTCATTCATTCTTCATTCATTCATTTATTCATTCATTCTTCATTCATTCATTTATTCATTCATTCTTCATTCATTCATTCTTTATTTATTTATGCATTTATTTATTTATTCATCTATTTATGGATTCATTTATTCACTTATTCATTCATTTATTTATTCTTCATCTATTCATTCTTCATTTATTTATTCATTTATTTATTTATGTACTTATTTATTTATGTATTCATTTATTTATTTACTTACAAATAAGTTCTGTCGCATTTCCCCAATTAAACAACTATAAAAAGACAATCAGTTATACAAGTAAAACTAATAAATAAATATTTCAAGTAACTGGTGTTTCAATAGTGGATGTGTTTAGTGCTATCACACAATCACAACACCACAGTCTTGAAGGTCTCCACATCACAGCTGTCACCATTATATCACATCAACCTCATTCATTCATTCGGCTCTAAAACCTTGAATAAATTCAAGATTCCATGTTACAGCTTGTGAGAGAGCATTACACACCTTTACATCTCCACTTACAATAAAATGTGATCAATGACTTTTTTGCCACTTCGTTTCACGTTAACTGCGGTGTTTACATAACGTCAAATTAGCCGAATGTTTATAGCAGGGTCAAATGAAGAGCGATAAATTTTCTCGTTTTTTTTTAAGAAACAAAATAGGAACAAAAACACATTTTTAGTTTAATTTCATTTTTTAAAACCTTGCTATTCTAATTTTATGGCCCTCATGAGGAGGAGGTTCGAGAATTCCAAATATGATGCAGCACTGGAATTTTGGTTCACAAATAGACAACTCTGCAAATGCCCTTACTAAGTTCACTAATACTGATTGCCTTGCTTGCTCACTGCCCTTTTTCGCCTTGTACTTCCTGCTCCACCTCTGTTAAAGCTGCTATTGATCATTCTTGAGCCATCAAGCTGCCTCGGTTCACGGGACTTGTTCGAAGGATGACTGGGTGAAAATTGGATTGATTTGGAATCGCACACTTTTTAAAATAAAATCAGTTCTGTATTTCGGTTACAGAGGATATGAGAATGTCTGCCTCAATTATAGCACCAGTAGTGTGGTTTGTGAAATAAAATAAAATTAAAAACTAGTGATGATACAAAATGGCACAGTTTTTCTCAAACTAGTTTCTTTTCAAATTTCTTTGCTCTGGGCTATAAATTTGGTTTTGCTCAACCCTCTTCCCAGCGGTCATCCCTTGCCACTTTAAGATCATGTTTTTCACATTTTTCCAATATTTTGGTCCCCTAATGATAGAACCGAAACATGACTTTGCAGAATACTGTAGAAGAGTAAACCTCATCATTTATAGATATTTTCATTGACAAATTTTTCTAGAAACTGACATTTAAATGTTTCTGAAAATGCAGAACTGCAAGCTCAATTTCTCAGAATACTTTTAGTTTTTGAGGAACTTTATGAGACATCATTTAAAGCAATAATGTATATAAGTCAGTATTAATGTCAATATTAAGATTGTGAGAGAAATGTAACAAAAATACAATTATGTACGTTTTGAAAAAAACAAAAGAATGTAGCAATAAGGCATTTATGACATTTGATACAGTACAATTAGCAGTATCCCTACCAAAATTTTAAAGAAAACTTGGAACCATTTTTGAGAAATTTTTGTTCTTCATATTTTTTTGTAATGCACATATTTCATTCAATATTATGCAAAAACTACTAACATATTCAAAGAAATGTGCATGACGTCAATGAAAAAACTAATTAGGAAGAACAAATTTCATTTGAAGCAAATCTCTATCTTCAATATTTTAGTTGCGAGGAGACTCTGAGAAAAATGTAACCTTTTGTAACTTTCAAAAATTCAATGTTAACAGTAAAATTTGGATCTATGCCATCTTTAGAAGCGTATTTCAAACTATTCTTACAACAAATTCGAATAAAATATTTGGAGCCATTTTAGAGAAAATTTAGAAAATGTTCCAGGGGCTTCTTCTCAAGTATCCCAAAATTTTAAAGAATCCTTTTCAAAAATTGCTAAGCTTTGAGATAGACCAGATCGATCAGGGAATTTCGAAAACATACTAGGAATAGTCTAGGCGCTAGTCTTGTTCACAGATTGACGAACTTTTTTGGGGGGAATCACTTTTTGGTAGCAGGGGGCTCCAAAACAAGCCTTTCCATTAGAAATCGATTTTCTGCAGAATTACATTACATAACTTTCTCTATACTACCTATATTTCTAGGTATATGTGTATGTGAGAAAGTAAAAATAATGTGGTGCGGAAAATATCAGAAGCATTATCCGATGAATATCAGATGGGTTACAAGAGAACCTCCTGCTTGCCTGCCTCATTCCCAGCATGGAATGCTTCTGTGCCTCTACTAGCCGGCCGGCGTCCCGGCGCGTAGGCGTAGGCGGTGGTGGTGGTGGTGGCTGCGTCTGCGGCGTGGCATGGAGGAAGGGGGCATTGCATTTTGCCAAATTTCACTTTATGACGCGCCTATTCATCTGATTTGGATGATTGATACAGAGTTGGATTCAGAAAGCATTTTGCTATCGCGCAATAAGCTCGTATTTTTTAAATTTCTTCCCGAAACTATTCCAAAAAAATTCCAAAACTCATTTTTTTCTCTAAAGGTGCTTTGTACAATAAATTGTATATATAAAATACAATTCAAATGCCGTTTACTGAGTGCCGGTACATTTAGCCTTAAGCAAGAACATGCTACAAGAATTTACTGATACATGTTCCATTCAGTGTTTGTTTTTCATGCTAAAATAAAATTTGGTACACCATCAATGTCTCATTATTCATTTCAATCCAATAAGCTAGAAGGAACTGACTGACATGGATATTTCATGTTAAACTAACGGCCTTGTTCTCAGATACAGATCACCAATTTTTTATTAGAAGTTTATTCTATCTAATTTCATGCAATGAACAACTGTATAATTTATAAATATTTTTAAATTGAAGGGGCTGGGAGTAAAAGATGGTAATTCAATTAGTCAAAATTATGGTGCTGCCCACCAGTTGTTCTCATCTTTATGTATCACATTTAAACCCCTTCCAGTAAAAATGTTCCAGTGCTTATATCTTGCAAACGTTTCCACATAGGTTACCATGTGGATTCAATTAATGAAATAATACAGGTGTTGCATAAGAATATCATTTCAATATTCCGAGAATTCCAAATCAACTCACCTCACATGATGGTCTGCGCTGCCTGCTGCCATAAACATGCCACCAGCACTAAATGAAGCACAAAGTATTTGTGCTTGTCCAGGCCGCATTCTTTCATTGTACTGAATAGGCTTTGTCCTGTGCAAATAATATTCGGTCAGTGAAAGCAACATACACAATGCAATAAACAATAATACATTTATTTAACAGGCAACCACCCATACATTGACTTTAGATTATAAGTAATAAAATCAAATTGTGTTAACACACATACATATAATCTACTGATTTTGTTTCACTGATAATTGGAAAGTAATAAACATTTGATTCTATTGAATTGTTCTGGAATTAATTGAAATATATCAATATCAATGTCTTGACTGTTGGCCGTGACAAGCATTTGTCTCAAGGGAACATTTAATCTCATGTTAGATATGGTACAAGGAATAAAAAACGTCGTTTGTTCACTAATTTTAATTTTAATACAAGCTACTCTCCATAATATTTTAGTTGTGAAACCCATACAGTCAATTACAGTTTGAAATACTGTATATTAAAAAAAATTATCGTCATGTTTTCTATGTGATCGTAATCCCTAGAACATTTGATATCTGTATATAACTAATAATGAGTTAATCTTGGCAAAGGTAACTGGAGTTTCTGTGCCATAAAATTGAAAATTTTGTGTTGCATTGTCTTTAATTGTCTATTACAGACCGTATTTATCAAAATATAAGGCGAGGTTTTTCCCTAAATATCTCAGTCCAAAAATGTGGGGACGCCTTGCATTTGCTCGAAACATGCAATAAGCTGTGAACAGGGTAAAAATATCGTGTGTACCTATAATGTGTAATTATATTCACGGCCGTACTTGCGGCATCCTCAGCGAATTTGCTGGTCAATTCAGACTGATATTTTTGAAGGAGCCAAAATGGAAGGTCAGACAAGTACGAGTTCACACTTCACAGCTCAATCACATGGACATTAAACGATACTAATTTTAAATATATTGTCCATCAAAAAAATGCAAGACCGATAAGCAATGTGCAAAATCAGCATACCTCAAATGTTAGAAGTGGTCGCAACTGAAAGGATGATAAAAAGAAAGAAACCTTGATACATGCAACGATAATTATTATAGTCACAAAACACATGATTATGACGATTTTAAGGAACAAGAAAATGATACTTCTTGCAATAAGTCTTAACATTTTCACCAAATTCAAACAATTTCACACAATTTTCTAGCCGATGAAATAATTTGCAATTTTATTTTGACTAAGTAGTAAGAATTAGTTGAAAATTTAATAAAAAGGAAAAAATAGGAGGTTATCTTATATTCAGCGTCGACTTATAATTGGGTCAATACAGTATATAATAGTACGAGGACCAAACTAGAAAAGCATAAAGAAGAAAAAAAAAGGTTCTTACTAAAGTTAGATATAAAGTTTTTAATGCTAGGATGTTAGTGAATTCAAGCAAATATTTGAATTGCTTCTCGCAAAACCTAACATTTGAATTGCTTTATTAATTATGTAATTTGTGTGTTTTCACAGAATTTCAATGATTCATCAAAAATTACACAGAGGTCTTTATATTCTTTCACTGTGTTCATGTGCTGATCTTTGAATTCAATTCAATCATATCAATAAAAGGTTATTATGCTATATGGATATATACATTCATTATATCAATTAAAGAAATAGATCCGGGCAAATTTATTAATGGAAACAACAACATAAATTATATTTTTTGTGCTCAATTGAACATTTCTTTTGAATTTCACCTTTATTTCAAACCCACTATGTAGGTTATGAAAATAATTAGAAACGTCATTGCTTAAGTTTCAATAAATTATTATTGAAATGTATATTTTTAATTTTTTATTTACTAATTAATAGAGGAATGAACAAGCGTATTGAACAGAGTATTATTACAACAGAGTAACAAGTTGTACAATAATTTAGTTTGTCCGAAAAACAATTTCATAATTTGATATTAACTTTTTTTTTAATATAAAAAAAATATTGGCTATCATATCATTAACACCATTATCGTCCTCCATCAAAGACAATATATCAAAGCAAGAAATGAAACAGAATCAGGTCTAAGGGTATATTAACAAAACGTCAGGAGTTTAAGATCAAAGTTCAAATTTATTTATTAAAGAAAAGTATAGGGATAGACAGAAAACCTGAGAAAGACGATGTGTATCATTGCCAGCATCAAGAGATAGTATCCACTAAGCTTAGCAATGCAGTTATGTTGAAAGCTTAATGTGACCTTGGTGAGACAGGTTGCGACTGGGCCAGGCGAGGTGCCCCCTCACAATCGTCACTTGACAACCATGCACAGAATGGCATAGGCCCCTCCATAACCACCCGGGCCAAGCAAATTTTGTGCCAATTGCCAGGGGCAGAGCAGGGTGGGGAGAGCAACAAAAAAATGATTTCATGGGTACTATTTACAATGTAGTTAAATTTCATGTTGATAGATTCAAAAGTTCTTGAGTTCAATTGGTTCATACAGTCAATTTATTTTTTTAACATTACATTCGTTTTAGTAATTATATATAATTGAAATACTATCTAAAAGCTGAAAATGTAAAAATAATGAGAAGACGTTTCAACTTTAATTTATGTTTTGACATACATAGAAGACAGCATAAGAATGGCAAAATAAAGTAAATCCAGGTACAAATCTACTCCCCCAAAACATATGCATTAATACTTCCAAGTTCACTATAATGCAAACGAACTCACACTAAGTAATTTTAGTTTTGCATTGCAACCAGCCCACACGAAAAACCCCAGGAACTGTGCACTGCCACCGCCCCTGCACTTACAATGCTCAAAGCGCAACGCAGCGTCAGGCTTCCCCCTCCAACCAGCCACCATGATACATTCAAATACAAGCGAAATGAGGATCTAGCCGATCATTTTGGAGGGACCCATCGTAGATGTGTTAAATAATAAACATATTTTTTACTATATTTTATATTATTTATGTTCTGTAGATATACTTTCATACAATATTACTGTTTAAATAATTACATAATTCGAACATAAACAAATATTTAAATCAATTTTGCCAAATAAAGAAAGTTAACGAAAACTAAGCGTTTTTTTTCTTCTTCGAGCAAAACAGCTTAGACTCAAAAACAAGCACAAAGTAAGTGCACCTACAACTCTGCCCCATGCCTCATCGAATAGCAAGCACGTACTCATGAAACTATCTGTGCATCTGAAATATGCATCTCGCTGCCGCCTTCTCCAATCGGCCACCTGGCGCACAAGACTGATTCTTGGGCATACGCGAATACCGATCGCTTGAGGTCACTGCACTGCAGCCGAGAACAGCTGATGGACAAAGGCCAACACACCAGAGAAGACTGTAATGGAACTTGAAGTTATTTCATAAGAGCACTTGAGATCATTTCCTTTATCACAGTACGATCATACCATCTCTCCTAACTCATTTGTTATCTAATTCTTTAAATTAGAAAATTAAACATCTTCAATTTTCATTCATTTCTTTCAATAGTACCGCATGGTATGCCACCCTTCCCAAAATTTTCAGGCCAACTACGCAAGACAGCAAACAAGTGCTAAGATCAGTCAGGGAAAATGGTATACTGCGGCGATGGTGTAACAGCATACCAGACTGTTATACCCAAGTTCACGGGTTCAAACCCAATCAAAGCTGTGGATTTTTAAGGGCGAAAAACATATTACGCCTCCAAAGAAGGAGGGGAAGTAAAGCTGTCTGTCCCACATTAGTAGATTTACTTGCATGTAAAAGATCCTCAAGTCTAAATGACGCCTATGAGCTAAATTCAAATTGCCTGTTTCTCGCCCAAGAAATACCTCCTTCCTTCGCTAGTTGGTGAAAAAAGTATAGTAAAATTTGCATGGTTACACGGGCCTCATAGCCAGAGTCTCTCCATGAAAAATTAGGCTTCAATTGAATTCAATTCAATTTAACAAGGTAAGTTAAGGAATTGGATTACCCACTACAGACATCCTGGGATGTTACAATTTAACCCAAAAGTGTGTGCCCCTGAAGGTTAGGTTACATTTGTCACCCTGTAGTGTGTCTTTGATATAAGCAAATGTAGGAAACGTTGTATTACCAATGACCAAATAACTTTACAGACAAAAAAAAGTTATTTGATAAAATTTTTGTACTGATTAAAACAATTATGTAAGCATAAGCATTTTAAAATATCTCAAAAAGAAGAAAGTTACTGTTTTAAAAAAAAATAATGCCCTGTATGTTCCAAAATTGTAAATGGTCATATATTATAACAGATGTATCATATTAACTCCTTAGATTGTGATGAAAAAGAATTTGACATATAATATAAATTGAATAAATATCAAAAGTATGGTACAATTCTACAACACTAGAAAATAAAATAAAATTCAAGTAATGGCTGGACCAGTGTTGGAAGCTAATCAGTTTAACAGCTGAAGAACAGCAAAGAATATGAGCAGCATGGAATATTTAAGAAATGTAAAAGATTAATCCATATTCAAACAAAAATGATGTTAAGAAGTGACAGTGACAAGAAAGTAGAAAGAAGACAAAGAGAAGTAGAAGGAATTGGAGAAGGAGCAGAAGAAGTGGGAGGTAAAGAGAAAAGTAAGAACAAGAAAAGTACATACTTGTACATATTCAGTACAAGACTTCCATAGATTTACACCTCAGCAAGAAAGAGAAAAAGACAAATTGTTGACAAAATAGAATTCAGAATTTTGGCATTTCAGTAGCATCCGTAAGCACCAAGTTACCAAATATGCCATTTTTGGTTCTTTTAAATTGTTTTTAACACTCTTTAACCTTAACAAAATTAAAATTGTAGTCTCAAACACTTTTTACCGAAAAATGTACAGTTTAGTATTAATAATTTTAACAATGCTCTCATCAATTGAATAAAATAATACTTTATCTCAAATGCAAATGAAATAATCGTTCATTATACTTAAAATAAAAAGAAAACAGAAAAATCTCTTAATATACTTCATCCCAAACTTCACAAAGAATTTAAAAGAATAATTTGCATTAAATAGATGGAAAACATTAAATCAACAGAATAATTCTTACAAAAAATTGTATTTTCCATTAGAATATTCATAACTCCAAAACGCAACAGAGCCATCAGTACTTGTTGACACAAGGTAACGAACACTATTGCTTGATAAAGGGCAGAAATGCACAGCTGTAATCATTCCAGTATGGCTTGAGAGAACAGCAACCTATAAACAAAATAAAAGGTAACATGAGAATTTTAATTATAACATATGCAACATAAAATCATTTAATCTCAAAATTTTTTTCTTATTTAGTGTGCAAGAACATCAAATAAGTTTATAACTGAAAAAAACTTCAACTCTCATGACTAAAAATTTGTAGACCACCGTAGGCATCCCTTTGTGTCTCCGATGTGTTTAGTGTTCAAGGTATTTTTTGGTACAACTACTTTTTCCAATTGTAAGGCCAGAGAAACATTGGTTACCGATGCTTCAGAATATCTTCATTGTTTTCATAAGGTTGTGTTACCACGTGATACTTTGAATTTGAGTCTTAGAATGCTATTTTTTTCTGTTAATTTGCATTGTTGATAGTGTTTATGTGAATAATTAATTTTTGATTCAGTTTATTATTTGTAAGTAGATTAGTTTTCCCAAGTGTCAATTACATACATACTTCAGTTTCTCCTCATTACAGTGTTCTGAGAAAGCAAATGTGAAATTGATCATTGTTGATAAGATGTTTCCCAGCTTATGCCATTCAAAATTTTCACTAACTTGAAAAACATGTTAATGTGATTCCATAATAAACATAAAAAACTGGAAACAAAACAAAACTAGTGTTAAAATGGCACATACTTTCTCGCCCTTTAGTAACGGTTATGTAATAATATTATGCTGCATTTCTGTCCATATCAACACACGAGTGCTGAAAACAAAGCGTGTATGCAGCAATGGGCACATATTTTCTTATCAATTCTTCCTAAGGGGCGGTTGAAGGATAAAACGAATGAAGGATAAAACTGTGGTTAGTAACCCTCAAGTATTGCTTAACCCTGTGTTAAATAGGGCGACCAGTTGTACGTAACTTTACTTCACCAGTGTTATATAGCCATCGAATAAGTGGAATGACAGTTCGTTGGCAAAACTGGCGATTGTCATTTGTCGCAGCAAATATTAATTTTCTCTTTGGTTTTGTTCATTTAAAGTGGTTTGAGCAAGATACATATTAAGTTTAACATGCCTTTTTAATTGAACTAATCAAAAGATTAGAGATTATTCTATGTTCTGGTAGAGTTTGAATTGATTTCACCATCTTAATTTTCCATTAAGAAGATGATAAATTTAACACAGGCTCTTATGGTGACCTGACAGAACTGACCTGAAAGTTTAAAATTGTGGTTTGAGTTGAGTTATTAAAAATAGTTTAGTAGCGAGCAACAGTATTCTGAAGTTTCAAATCAGCATGCACACAGTACATTCGATGACAATGTGCCATCTCTACCTCTTGTGTAATATGGGAATGTGTAATATTCTGAACCGTCTCCTCCTGGACATTCTATTGTAATGTGGGTGCAATCAATAGCACCAATTATTCTTGAGAAAGCTGCTTTCTTGTAAAACCCTCGTCCCATACGATTTCTTTCCAGTGCACTTTTGGGGAAGTATATACATTTTGGGCTGACCATTGCCTAACTATTCTTTTAATTATTCTACTTGTTCATCCAGCCCACAAAAATCTCCATTGCATATTACAAATGATCCAATATCCCAATGTCAGAAGGGGCTAGATTATAGGAGGTACAGAGTGAATCCTGCAAGACAAACATACCTTTACTAACATTTTTATACTGCACCAAGCCAAACATTTGTCTACTTGCAAATTCAAAATATAATAAACAATAGAACATTTTTGATACAAAAACTAATATTTCATGGGCATTCCTGTTTGTATTGTGTTCAACGTAATTTATAAGCATGAACAATTGAAGTACAGTTTGCTTATTTAACCTGAATCTTGCAAAAACAAGTCATAAACATCATATTCTTTCAGCAAGTCTGACCTCCTCCCCAACTCTTCTGAACTTTTGACTTTTTAAACACGTTTGGAGTATTTTTTCTTCTTCACTATCGTCAGAAAACAAATACTCAAGAATTTCATACACTTCAGCCCAGATGTACTACAGATTTTGCTACTACCCGGCTCAGAATAAGTGGTGTAAAGGTTAACACGCTGTTAACTTCCTGTTAACTACGTGCAAGATCACAGGATAACTTAACACCTTCTTATCCCTCAGTTAACCTGTATCCTGAGTTCATACAACCTATTTAAGTGCTAAAAGCATGATAAAATTTACCCCGAGTTTATTCCTAAAGTGCCATTTTTGCCATAAATGGAACTGTTTTTCAGTTTGCATTATTGTGGTTTTATGAAAGTTCTAAGACGTTCTTTATGGAACACTATTGCTCGTTTTAAATACATACATTTATTTTCCGCCATGTCTCCATGATATTTTAAGTCAAATTCTTGATGTATCTACTGAAAAATGTAATCACACTTAAAAAATCTGAGCAGCTCCCCTTCGTCCCTTGCTTCTGGTATATCAATAATTGCCTTGATTTTTACTGAATCTAGTTCTGGACCTTAGTCAAAATGTGTCCAAAAAATTTTAAACATTAGGAAACGATTCACTTTGTCTCTCTTATCCTTACCATTTACTGCCTCAAGTCGATTGAGAAGCTTCTCCAGATTATTGTTAAGATCTTCCATGACTTCAGTCATAGTCTCACCACAACAATAGATTAAAATATCATCAAGTAGAATCTCAACTCCCTCAGATCACTTACTATTTCCTACATTTTCTGGAAAAAAATTTCAGGTGCTGAGGACACACCAAATGGAAGTCTTAACCATCTATATCTGCCAAATGGAGTCCAAAAAGTAGTCAATTTGCGTCTTTTGGGTGTCAATTTCACTTGCCAGAAACCAGTGTCTAATGTTGAAAAAACTCATGTCCATCCAATTTCTGGAAGAATTTCTTCCAATGTAGTAAACTGAAAATGCTGCCTCTTATGTGCAACATTTAATGGAATCAGATCAATGCAGATTCTCAAGAAATTTCTTTTTTTTACTGACAGGACGTTACTCACCGCATCCATATTTTGATATTCTCATGTAATGATTCCTTATTTCACAAATTTACTAAATTCTGGCTGCAAATCCTTTCTCAGTCCAACAAGAATCCTCCATGCTGGTTGGATGATAGGTTTGACATCTTCATTGATTTCAAAAGCAATCTCTCCAGTTAAACATCCATAGCCTTCAAATACAGTTTTGTACTATCTAAAATTTTCAAGGCTTTCTTTTGTCCACTATGTTTTTCTGGTTTCTGGTTACAGTATTTGATTAGGTTTAATTCCCAACACGATCTTTCCGAAATCAAAGGTCCATGATTCACATTGACTACCAAAAATGTAAGAGGAAAGGAAAAAGGAAAAATGTTATATTTCCTTTCCTCTCACAAGGTATCACCAGCTCACCCATGACTTAAACTTTTCCACCTTCAAAACTTCTTAATTTTTCTCAAGATTTCCTCAATTTTGGAGAAGTTAACTTGTTAAACGTATACTTGTTTACAGTAATTTTTGAATCCTATGCCATTGGCATCTGAGCAGGGATCCAAATCACAATGAACATCTTTCATTGATGTCCAATTTCAAACCTCAGTTCTGTATGTCCTTTTTTATTTTCATCCCTCATTGTTTACAATTTGAAAAAATGTACTGGTTCTTCATTCTCGGAATCACTTCTATACTAATGGGAGATTTTTCCACATACACTGATTTCTTTTTTTCTCCTCGTTCAAATAAGTCTTTCATTTAGATGATTTTTTTGCAAGACAAACCTTTGCAAAATGATTTTTTCCTTTACATTATTTTCCCCATGCTGGACATAGTAAATTTATGCCTCCCACTACAGAATTTACAGATCAAATTACTAGTATTTCTTTCTACTAATTTATTTATTGATTTTACATCTGTGGCAAGTGTGTTTAATCAGAACTCTGACATTTCTTTAGCTTTTCACATCTGAATCAATATTTCAGGGGTAACTTGTCAGGATCTTCTTTAAGGAACTTCTTTTTTAACACTACGTCTTCAATACTGAAGGCTAGTTTGCCTCTGAGCGTTGTGTTTACAGTAATTGGTCATCATACCTAACTCTTAAGACACAATTGAAAATTTTCATCATCTCTGTGTTTGCACCATTATGAACCAGGAATATGTCATAGAGAAGGTAGCTATCTGAAATTAGCCTCTGACCAATTAAATTAAGAACATTTGTTTCCTGAAGTTTTTTTTCTTCTTCTTCTTTTGGATGAAAGTTGGAATTCTTTTTTTTTTTCTTCTTTCTTTTCTTTGTTTCCAAAGACAGATAACATGGTAATTTTATTCCTTCTAGTTCTGGTTCCCCAATTGTCTATGACTATTGCTATACAATAACTATTCCAACGTACCTTGAAAAATTTGTAATTATCATAAATATCACCTGTGTCAACGTCTAGAGCTTGTGGCTTGTGATATTTTGAGTAATCCACCAGTGGCATTCATTGTTGTTCCCTGTTCCATCGTAGTTCTGCCATCTCAAAGTACATTTAGCTTCATTAATGATTGGGCAATTGATTTGAAATAATCAATGTTTTTTTTATAACTCCATCTCAGTGTTTCTTTTGCACTGATCAAACCAACAATGTCTAAGATGAAATAAAATCTGCCAAATTATTTTCTGTATCTGATCTCATCATAGCCGGCCAGTACAATATTCACTTCACAGATTATGTTATTCACTTTTCCAACTCAATTGTTTCAACCATGATGTCTATCAAATTGTTTAATGTGATTCCTGCATTCCTAACACCATGTTTTACTTGTATCAGGATGTCTAATGAGAACAACACAGAGTTCTAGATCAATCACTTCACTCACTAATCACATGCCATCTTAAGCTTCAAGACACACTGACCCCATCTCTGAATCACACGAACCAAACACACACTACCATCAATGTTCCCAATACAACACTGAGACAGTGAACCTCTTGCCGCATTACAAGCTGACATCAAAATAACAAACAACTTCGAGCAGGAAAATCCCATTCACACATTTGATGTTGGTCTGCTCTATGTCTTCGGAAGGAATCAATGACACCTTTCTCCATATGTGAGGCCAATACTTTCACTTGTATCAACTGCAGTGTGATATATCACAGCAAACTGACAGGAAATTCACGAGAAGGCATGGACAAACAACACTACCACCTTATCACACTTCACTGATCATTTTGGACAAAATCAACACAAATTCAAAAAAACACAATTTTCATATTCAGGCAATTGAAGATACTCATACACAACAATCTCCATTGTTGCAATGCTTGTTGTCTTAACAAATTTCTTAACTTTCCTCATTGTTGCTAAAATTGGCCATTTGGTCCTGAGCAAGCTTGACAGTTCATTTCTGGAAAATTTCTTTTTACTTAATTAACTAATTAATTAATTTTATGAATTTATTTATCTGATAATGAAGTAATATATTAAAAACTTACAGGTGCAGTGGTTTGGAAACACCAAACACGTAAAATTTTATCCAAACTTCCAGCTGCCAATAAGGTGTTCTCCATGTTCACAGCAATATCCGTTATTTCAGCTGATGCCCCTCTAAGAGTTGCAATTAATCTACCATCAATTGTACTCCATACTTTCACAAGTAAATCATCAGCACCCTAAAAAAGTGATTATTCAATATTTTACTATATTTATACAACTGTCAAATTATTCTTCCTCTGCAAATATTAGAATAACCGTAACATAAATACTCATGGAGAAAATTATGATTTTTTTAAACCGATTGCACAATAAATGAATCATCCAACACACTACACACCCCAAAAAATATTCCTCACATCAAAACTCAGCAACCTTAATACACTTTGTAACATTTATTGCAAATGTAACCACTTTACAGTTGTACTATTTCATTTGTAGAAAAAATATCTTACATTTTAACTGGAAGATAGTTTTGTTTTAATAGTAGATTGACAACGATCAAATTTCACAAATTAAATCCTTGAATAATTTTCATTGACTGTAAGACATTATAGACTGGAAAATAGGTATTGGTATAATAGATACAGTTTCAAAGCAATGAAAGCAACAGTAATTGTCAGGGTTTATGTAGGGATCAGGCCTTGGAGAGAAAAGCTCTCTCCAAAACCACTTGATTCTGCATGATCACTGGAAGACTGATCTTTTTTTATTTGATTCCCAGCAAGAATAAGCAAACTCAGAATATTTCCAGAGTAAATTAGTCTGACACTATGAAAGCGTAGGCTTCTGCGGCTGAAGTCAATAGAAACGTGACTCTCTGGGAGACACAGCATCGTAGACATAGATAACAAGGTTTCAGCCCTCATAATGCGATCTTCCGAGAATAACTAACACAACTTTCTGATGACAGCTTCTCCAGTTGAAAGTTTCAAGTGAACAAGCACTTCAAATATGAACTTATTTTGAAGTGACTGCAAATCTAATTCAGAAGCACATTTGGGTCTCCAGGTTTCGCAAAACTGAAAATTCACAGCATTTGCAAACTTTTCCAATTTCTGCTTGAAATCGTTCCATGGATGTTTATGAACCCTCTCCAGGACACTTACCACAGTTTAAAAACTCCTGGTCTATATTATTAAAAAAGACTACTAGAATATGACAACTAAACAATCTAAAAGAGACACAAACATGAGTATTTTTTTCTACATTCAGAATACTGGAAAACTGATGGTGGTGAAGAGAGAGAGAGAGGGGGGAGAGAGTGAGAGAAAGAGGGAGAGAGGGAGGGAGGGAGAGAGAGAGGGAGAGAGAGGGAAAGGGAGAGGGAAA